GAACAAAGCTGAATACCATACATGTAAGTACCAGCGAAAACTTAAGAAAACATACGTACATACATTACATACAAGAATCCAGCTAAGGTCAGCATTACAATGGAGCAGAGCTGGTATTCAGCTGGTTCTGACCAGTTCTGGAGAACCGGTAGCGGAAATTTTGAGTAGCTTGGAGAACCAGCAAATACCACTTCTGATTGGAGTTTTTACAGTATCCTTCCCCTGCCACGCCCACCAAGCCACGCCCACAGAACCGATAGTAAAAAAAATTGAATCCCACCACTGTATTGGAGCTAGATAAGGGTCAATCAGATTCAGAAGGGGAGGGACTTGGACCATCTGTAGGAACCTAATGACTCTAAGCTGATGATGCACATAACTCCACCTACTCACCCCACCCTATTCTGCCTGTTCTTCTCTTACAATTAACTGCATAACTGGTTTTGTAGAAAGAGAATTGAATTCCTTTCCTCCTGCTGTTGTTGGGTTGTGTGTATGTGTGGGAATTGACAATACAGCTTTTTATTGTTTTGAGGCAGAAAGGGGCACAAGCCTTGGGGATTGTCCTTGTGATCGGCACTTTTCAGGATCTGCCACATGCCACTTACCTTCAGATGGGGTTTCTGTTGGTGTACCCCGCCATAAACCAACCTGAAGTTTCTCTAAAGTGGATTCAAAGAATGCTCTTCTGCAGCCTTTGCAGCCTACAAAATCCAATCTGTCCCATTCTCACATGAGTTTCAGAGGTTCCAAATGGCATACAAGAGCATAGACCTCTTGCATGACCTCCAAGGTCCGCCCCCCAAAATCACATAGAATGGGGCATGCTTTTGAGAATAATTGTTGTCGGATGTGGGTGAGCATTAGCATGTCACTGAAAACATCATGGTGCATCACCTTTGCTATCACTGTGGTAGCCTATGGATGTATTGCCATACTGTTTCCCTCATTCACCTACCTACTGCACTTTTCCAGAAACTTCCATTCGTGACCTCCTAAGGTTGTCTGCCTTTGCATTAGACCCATGCAATCAAGGAAGAATTCTACTGTATATTCATGAGTGACAAAATTCAGAATTTCCTCCATCAAATATTTTTTGTATATTAGGAATATCTCATCAAAGAAGGAAATTTGAGCACGGGAGCTGTTGAGATGATTGGTGATTTTTTGAATGAAGAAGCTGGATTTCATAACTCATTCCTTATTTCTGTTATGGATCATTTCCTCTTTTTGAATAACAGGTAAATGAGATGGTGGGGGGAAACTAAAGGCTATTTTTTAAAAAATAAATTATATTTGCTATCTTCTTGGCAATTATGACAGTTGAAATAATCCTGAACTGAAACAGAAACTAATCTCTGATCTCAAGTAGATGGACTAAAATAACTAGTATTGGACTGCATTAACTATCAAGATTCTGACTGATGAACCCAAGCAAATCAGTACTCCGATACACCATCTTCTTCAAAGCACTAATATATTGAGTACATCAATTGGGCCAGGGATGGGATTCAAATTTCTTAGCAACTGGTTCTGTGAGTGTGTCCTAATTTGTGGGTGTGGCTTGGTGGTCATGTGACTGGCTGGGCATGGCTTCTATGTAAATATTATAAATATTTATGTGAATATTGATTTTTTAATTAAAAAAGAGCAACTTTTACCCAAAATCAGGCAAAGCAGGCAGGCAGATTGAGTTGCTCACAGAATCACAGATTCATTCAGAGATCTACCTTTCTGCCATCGGCTACCTGAGTATGTCACATAAAATTTGTTTGCAAGCAAACTCATAAAATTGGCTAGCAAGCAAACTCATAAAATTTACTCACAACACACTATGTATGTAAATATTGAATTTTTTATAAAAAAAAAGAGAGCAACTTTTACCCAAAATCAGGGAAAACGGACAAGCAGATTGAGTTGCTCACAGAATCACAATTCACTTAGAGATCTATCTATCTGCAGTTGGCTACCGGAGTCTGCACTGAATAATAGAAGCTTCAGTCCTAAGGAAGGCTGTGCTCTGCTTAAAAGCAGAGCCGAGGATCTAAAGATTAGCTAGAAAGCAAGTAATCTAGCAATTTCCTGCATTCTAGCTAATCTAAATCTCCCGGCACAGTAGAACAGCTGATGGTTGGGGGCGGGGGGAGGAAAAATAGCAATTTAGCAGGCAAGTTTGATGGCGCACATGCCGGGTAAGGAGTGAGTGGGCAGGGTGGGGTGGGGCCCACCAGTGGCGCAATTTGCCAGTTCTCTGGCAGGTAGAATCCCACCCCTGGTGAGAATGCACTTTGTGCGCATGTATAGACCATCTCCAAAAAATCTCAGCTGTGCCGCCCAGACAGCTGACAAGCGCTCTGTGCGGGTGAGCAGCGTTTCAAACGCCTCTTCTTTTCTGCTTTTTCAACCTCCGCTGTGCCGTGCAAAGCAACTGAGGTTGAAAAAGCAGGAAATAAAGGACAGCCAAGGGCCCAGCTGGGCAGCTGGGCCAAACAAAGCAGCAGACATCGAAGTGGTTCAGTGTGTCTGCTGCTCTTCAGAGCTACTGGTTCTATAGAACTGGGCTGAATCAGTAGCATCCCACCCCTAAATTGGGCACAGATGAGGTTAAAAACAGCTCTGGCTATTTCCTGTTCCTTTGCACAGTTAAAAATTAAGCATTCCCCCTCCCCCCAGGACACAGGTCATGTTGTCAAATTGGGTGCAATAGGGTTTGGTCTCTAGTCAGTGGTATTTGGGATGACCTTGGTTCCCAGGAGATAGTAAGTTGTTTTGGCAGGTGTGCATTCTGAGCCTCTTTCCCCCACCCCACCCACCCCCCTTGAGCTGGGTGGCAACTTCGGAACTGGAAAGATGTATGCGACAGGCGTAATCTGTTCCAACTTGACATTAATTGCATTGTCTTCAGAAAATGAACATTTTTTGAGATAACTTAGAAATAACTGATAAACTGTACTTGCATTTGTTTCTTTCTTTCTCTCAAATTTAGATTTGATGAAATTACTGGTGGATTTGATCAACTTCCTCAAAGGTTCTTCAAGGAAATGGTTAAAATTGTCCATCTCAATTGCACGGTGGAGAAGATACTTCGCATCAACAACAAAGTGAGAGTCTTCTACAAATGGTTGTCCAGGCCTACATCTCTGGTTGCTGACTATGTCCTCATCACAGCTACAGCAAGAGCCACACGACTCATCAAGTTTATGCCACGTCTTTCCATTCCCAAGACTCGGGCACTGCGGTCTTTGACTTATGCAAGTGCTACTAAAATTGCCTTGATTTGCACTGAGAAGTTTTGGGAGAAGGAGGGGATCCACGGAGGGAGATCGATCACAGATCTCCCATCACGAGTAATTTACTATCCAAATCATGACTTCCCCCACGGAATAGGAGTCCTTCTGGCATCCTATACTTGGTATTCTGATTCTGAGTTTTATACGGCACTCAGTGATGAAAAGTGTGTTGATGTGGTGATGGATGACCTTGTAGAAATCCATCAAGTATCTAAAAAATATCTCAAATCGGTCTGTGGCAAATCTGTGGTGCAAAAATGGACCCTTGACCAATACTCTATGGGAGCATTCAGCACATACACCCCATACCAGATCACCCATTATTCTCAGATACTGGCCCAAAATGAAGGGAGGATCTACTTTGCGGGTGAATACACAGCTCATCCACATGGTTGGATTGAAACTTCAATGAAATCTGCCATAAGGGAAGCAATTAATATCCACAATGCATAAAAGGAGTAATTTAATGCGGAAGCATTTACTGGTTTATTGAAGAATAATTTTCTTACAGAACAATCATTTGGCTGTGACTCCACATAAGAGTTTGGGAGCAGCTCGTGTTGTTGTTTCTAACCGATAATGCTTTCTAATTTCTAAATGAAATATTTTAAATCTCAGTGGTATTGTTTATACTCTTTCTTTATTTTTCTATTTATGGTCTTGCTATATAAAGACAGATCTGCTGCCTCAGCAGACGAGTCAAAGAAAGTGATCTGAACATAAACGCCAATGCTATCTGGAATCTATAATTACATAATATTCTATATTTTATACAAACTATTTCAACATACTTCTATTCATTCTAATATTATGGACCATAACTACAAATTAGGGGATGAAACATTGTCTGAAGATACTTTCTGTGGTGATGAAGCCAGCATGACTATACTCCAAGGTGCATGGAAAGCTGTTACATTCCCACCAAAGTGGTACTTATTTATCTACTCACATTTTCATACTTTCAAACTTCTTTCAAATTGCCAGATGGGTAGGAGCTGTGGCAAAGAACAGGAACTCACCCCATTGTGCAGCACTCGGTTCTGGAACCCAGGCTATGAGCTTTCCAGCTAACAAGCTCAGTGTCTTTTACCACTGAGCCATAGTGCCCCCTTTATGGGAAGGGATAGACTACCCCAAAACATTACTTTAACATGCTAACATCTTGGTGGAGCATTTGTGGTGGCCACAGCATTGCTGCAAAAACTACAGTGCTACCAGCTGTTTGCTCTGTAGCATTTTAGACACTTGTTTATTTTTTTTCAACACAATGTAAAAGTGAAGTGGGACAAGGAGGCTGCTAGGCCGCAAGGGAGGTATTTGGGAATAGACTGGTATTCCCTAGTATCACACAATCCATCCCAAGCTTGAAGATGTATTAATGTTACTAACAGAAGACCATGTGCCCCTCAATAATTCAATCATATCTCCTCTGTCAACTTGGTTGTTGCACAGGTTGACTTTGATCAAGTTTATGGGGCCATCTTTGGAGACCAGAGCTATTACAGTATCCTTACACACGCACATTAGAAAACAAACTTAAGCAACATATAGGGATTTTAAAATATCAAGCAGTTTTTACAGCTTGCATATTTTTAATTTTAGGAAACCACACACTCTCATCTTTTCCAGAAAGCAGGATAGGAACATTCTTGCTTTATAAGAACTTAAAATTCTATGGACTTTGGGCTCAGATAGAACCATCTAATGATCTCCCCTGACTCAGAGTGTTGGTGAAATGTAAAATTATGTATTGTATGGAGACATTTTTCTCCCATTTTTTAATACGAACGGAATAATATAAGACAAACAAAAGGAGCCCCAACCTCACATAGTTTAGCATATACTGTAATTTCAGTATGAACGCCTCTATTACAAGATGCAACAGCCACTAAGCTGAATAGCTTTGATGATTTCATAGAGGATTTGACTGTTAGTAATTGCTACTCATGACTGTTACATAATATTTTCTCCTTTTATTCTCTTCCAAATAACCACATTGATGTGGGCCTTGTTAGGTGGTTTAGATAGGCAACTTACATTTCTGAATGTGCTTTTTCAGTTCTACTAGCAAATCACGGTTCCTCAAACTGTATATCAAGGGATTCAGCATGGGAGTCACAATGTCACAGAACAAAGAGGCCACCTTATCCTGTTCTGGTGTTCTGTAAGATCTGGGTCTCATATATTTAAAACTTGCTGCCCCATAGAAGAGCCCCACCACACAGAGGTGGGAAACACATGTGCCAAATGCTTTATGCCTTCCTTCCACTGATTGCATTCCCAGAACCGTCAAAAGGATAGAGATGTAGGAAGTCAGGACAATGGAGAAGGGACCCAAGAGTAATATACTGCCATTTAGGAAAAACAAATTTTCATAGGTGGATGTTTCAGAACAAGATAATTTCAACAGAGCTTGAATTGTGCAAAAGAACTGATTCACTCTATTAGACTTACAGAAAGGTAGCTGGAGCACGTAAAAAGTGTGCATGATTGAATGAAGAATTGCCCCAAGCCAGACTCCGCCCGACATGGTCACACATACCCTTCTGCTCATGAGAACTGGATAGTGCAAAGGTTTGCAAATGGCCACGTACCTGTCATAAGACATGACGGTCAGTAGGAGGCACTCGGCTCCTCCCATCATAAAAGTGGAAAAAATCTGAATCCCACATCCAGGCAATGAAATTGTATTATCTTTTTTCCAAAAATCCATGGACATTTTAGGGACAATGCTAGAAACCTGGCAGATGTCTATAAAGGAGAGCTGGCTGAGGAAAAAGTACATAGGGACTCTGGAATATGAACCTGTGACAATTACAAAAAAGAAAAGACAGTTTCCCAGTAGGGCAACAAAAAAAGTCAGTAGGATCGCCCCAAAGAAAACTGTATGCATCACCGTGTGATTCAGAAGTCCAAGAAGAATGAATTCGGTCCACAAAGTTCTATTCATTATTTCCATTGCGACTTCTCCTGAAAACATAACAGAAAATATTGGAATTAAAGCTAGAAAATCATGGGAGGTTGAGATGAAAACTAAATCAAAGCTGGTAATAGTTGGATTAGAATTACATATTCAAATGTCTGTAGAGATTCTTAGTCATCCAGATCATGACTGAGAATCTCTACAGACTTTTTAGCTATTCAATTTGGGATGAACACCCTTTGAATGGTGCGGGAGTAGGAATGGATTACCAGAGGAAAAAATTCAGACTACAGGAACCAGGAACAACACTCAGGTGATCCTGAGGACACAGATAAACTTCCAAGTGCTTCAAGGACTCTCTAAAAGGATGCAAATGACCAGCTGTCTGCAAGGAATATAAATCCTTCCATTCCCCACTATCCTGTAAGAGCTGAAGAAGCTTCTTGGATGAGAAATGTCTTCAAAAGCAAAAACAAGAAAGTCCAGTGCCTCCTAAATAAAGCACCTTTGGGACACATATACAGATACACACACCAAGTTCACACACCTGCAGTCAGAACATCTTTGACTCCTTTGCTGAGCTATTTTCCACTATCAAACAGATTTTTTTAAAACAACAGTTATTCAGTATTAGAAAAAATATCCTGGCTTTAAATTCAAGTTTCAATCTCTGGGTGAAAAAATGTAGGTCTGTCTTCTGGAAATGCATTTGATTCCCCCCACCCCCAGGACTCATTATTATTATTCTAAGCATCAAGATTGTGTCTTACGTCCATATTTGCTTTCTTACCGATGCATTTAATCATCCACCTTTGTATTATGATCTTTGCCCTGATGATTTTTAGAAATTCAAATATTCTTCACAACAATCCAATGTCAATCCCAAAGCCATTATTACCTGCTAGGTAGTATATATTACTTTCACACATGATTTTTAGGCTTTCTCCTGGTGCTTCACTTTTAGCTGCATTCCTACAATAAAATACTTTCCACTGCCCAGTAACTTCTGCTATGTTGAACAAGCTATGGTAAGTAATTGCTTTGTTTCGAAAGAATGGCTGATTAATTATTGCATCAGTCAGGCAACTGAAAATCTCACACCTCCAGGGTGAAAAAAAAAATCTCCTAAGGTATCAGGCTTTGGGGACTTCACTCACTATTCCCAAGGCTTTAATTTGGGACTGACTAATGTGAGTAATTGCCTTTGAGATGTTGAGAAGCAGAGTGACAATGAAATACAGGTAGTCCTTGACGTATGAGCACAATTTTTCTGCCTTCTGGACAGAGGTGGATTTATAAACTGTACAGTTGCAGATAGATAACTCAACAAGACGTCCATAACAAATTACATTTATTGGTTCATCAGGTATCCTCATTACTCACGTTTGTGATGAAGTTCTTCTTTAATGACCAATCCTTTGTATATCTGCCTTGTAGTAAAAGATGGTTATCTCCTCACCCATCTCGTAGCGATAGAAAGAAGCTGCCATGAGTTCGTGAGTTGAGGCAAGAGTGAGGAAAACTTCCCCCAACCCCTCAAGGGTCAATTTAATGACCAATCAGGATTACAGATGTGGTCATGTGATATGGACTACATTTCCCAGAATACTTTAACTACATCTACCATGATGCCTTCCCCTAAGGGGACAGCTCATAATTCCTAAGTAACTATCCAATTCCCATAGACTGGCTGGGACAGCACAACAGCTGAGTCCAAAATTTCCATTACTAAGCAAGACAGTTGTAAAATGAGTTTTGCCCCACTTCATAGCGATAGTACTTAGCATATACCACTTTTATAGTGCTTTACAGCCCTCTCTAAGCAGTTTACAGAGTCTGCATATTGCCCCTCAACAATCTGGGTCCTCATTTTACCCACCTCGGAAGGATGGAAGGCTGAGTCAACCTTGAGCCTGGTGGGATTCGATCTGTCAAATTGCAGGCAGTTGGCAGTCAGCAGAAGTAGCCTGCAGTACTGCACTCTAACCACTGTGCCACCAAGGCACTTTATGAACTTTTTGCCACAGATGTTAAGCAAATTTACTGCAATTGTTAAGTGAATCATGCAGTTATTAAATGAATCTGGCTCCCCCATTGACTTTGCTTGTCAGAAGTTAGCTGGAGAGGATGGGGGGGGGGGGGTTTACAAATGCTGATCACCTGACCCTGGGACAGTACACCTAAAATAAAAGCATCAAGCACCCAACTTTTGATCATGTGATCATGGAAATGCTGCAACAATTATAAGTGTGAAAACTGGTCATAAGTCACTTTTTTCAGTGACATAACTTCAGAGTCACTAACTGAATGTCTGTAAATAGAGGTCTAAGTGTATAGCAAACAATCATCTTTGATGATTAGACTGGATTGGTTCGTATTTAATATTCCAGCCATTCTGACTCCAATCTATTTATGTAGTTATTTTTGTTTGTTTGTCAAACATGTACAAGATAACACGTATAGGTATGAACATGAACAGGAAGTAAATACTGATAAACAGGGACAGTAAGACAGGGGCAGTAGTCACGCTGGTGTGCTTATGTACTTAAGGGCCTCTTGGGAATAGGGTGAGGTCTACGGTAGACAGTTTGAGATTGAAGCTGTGAGGGTTT